TTTGGGGGGGGGGGGGGGGCGGGCGAGCGGCGGGCGGTCAGCAGCCCAGGGGAGCGCACCGGCGGCGCACCTGCTGCGGGGGGCAACGCAGGTTGGGACGCATGCCGCCGGGCTGCCCTGGCGTGCGTGTCCTCCCCCCCAGCCTCCAACCACACTTCTCCCCACCCACACCCACACACCCACACACCACCCCACCAGCAGCCATGCGGGCATGCCGCCACCCACCTGGAAGATGTGGTCCCGCATCTCGTCGTTGCTCACCAGCAGGCCGCGCTCCCCGGCCGTCACCGCCGCATAGATCCAGTACCTGCAGGCGGTATGGGCGGTACACGGCTGGGACGAGGAGTGGAGGCGGGGCAGCACCGGAGGGACGGTTCACCGGCACGGTCACAGGCCACGATGGCCCACAGCCTGCGGGTCCGCACCAGGCGCGGCACCGGGGGCGGCCTCACCAGTCGTCGTTGCTGCCTGCGGGTGTGACGTAGAAGCTCTTGGCCTCGCCCAGCTCTCTCATCAGCGCCTGGGCAGCGGGGGCCCGCGCCTGCGCAGGGCGGCGGCGCCGGCGGCGGCGGTAGTTTTGTTGGCCAAAGGCGGAAGGGAGCCCAGCCCGGGCTGCAGGAGGGAGCACGAGAGGCAGGAGCAGGAGAGGCGGCAGAAGCGGGCGCCATTGGCAGCGGGCTGGCAGGCACACCTGCGCCGCCTTGGTGCGCCCCACGTTGAGCAGCAGCAGGGGCTTGAGGTCGGGGTGCCGGCTGGCCAGATGGTCGCACACGGCGCTGCGGCAGGGGGGGCGGGCAGGGGGCGCCACACGGGTGGACAGTGGCACCCCGACAGCGGGCGTGCGCAGGTGGCTGGCTGCTCCACCCGTCACACCTCCCACCACACACACCCGCCCACGCATTCATGTGCCGCCACCCGGTCGTGTGCAGCCAGCCACCCAGCCCCAGCCCCACCCCCCCCACCGTATCTGGCCAAAGTTGAATCCGCCAGAGTCGAAGTTCTGTCCGTACAGCGCCACGTTGGCGCCGTCCACCACCGCGCCAAAGGGGCCGTGCTCCTCCAGCCAGCACTTGAACTGGGGGCGGGCGCGGGGGGTGGGTGGCGGGGGGGCGGGGGGGGGGGAGA